ATTACTTCTGATGAGGATGAGAATGGCAAGTGGAGGAAATGCACCGCCTCAATATCGTGAAAAATGGCGACCACAATATCACTATACTCCTCCCAGAAACTTTATGAACGACCCTAGCGGACTAGTTGCATTCGATGGTCTATATCATTTATTTTATATATACGACCCGAGCGGTAAGTACATACATGTAGCTTTTACCCATCAGCAATACGGACTTTTAATGTGCAAAATGGATTTTAATTATTCTATCATATTTCATTTTAGCGACAGATCATATCAATTTTCATTTTATGCTTTTATGTATAAATGTGGCATTAAATTTTTATTATCATATTGAAATGACATTGATATGTTCAAGCTTCTCTATGACCGCATTCACAACAAAGTTGACAGATCCGTGGATCCAATATAGCAGGACCACTTGAAAGTTTGCTGCTTTATTCCCTAATAGACACTAAATAGATACCCCGCAAGATAATGCTGCAACATTTCAATCGCATCGGACATATTTGATCCGAAGATCTGTTTGTCCGCGGACCAACTTTGTTTTGAATGAGGCCTATACGGGATTTACCGGCCATAATGAATTTTCCTCGAGGGGGGGGGGGGGGTATTTTTTGTCTCACGAATCCTTGCTCGACGCATCCTCGCACTTGGATTCGAACTTTCGTTTTTCATTTTTGATTAATATAATGATTTCAGCAGGCACTTGTATTTGAAGGGTTTCAGAGTTTTGAAGGTCTGACTTGGGAAAGATTAGACGCTTTGCAGTTTATGTGGATGGGAAAGTTTTCAAACGCGTACAGTTACCTTTCGAGGTAATGTTTAAAGTAACGGCTTGTCATGCCCTTTCAGAAATTAAACTTGTCATCCTAACACTGGCCTAATGTGGGAAACATGGTCCCCGTCAGTGGTCACTAATGTGGACAGGGGGAAACATGGTCCCCGTCAGTGGTCACTAATGTGGACAGGGGGAAACATGGTCCCCGTCAGTGGTCACTAATGTGGACAGGGGGAAACATGGTCCCCGTCAGTGGTCACTAATGTGGACAGGGGGAAACATGTTCCCCGACAGTGGTTACTAAGAGTGCATTCCCACAGATTTAGATCGATCCATCCGGATCCGGATCGACCTAACTCCCTGGGAGTTCGCGCTAAATTGCAGTCAGCCGAGCGCGCACGACAGTTAATTACCCCCTAACAGCTTTTAGTAGGCGGGACAGACGCTTAAGCCGACTAAGCTGACATAAATCTAGTGAGACTCCCCACAGGGATAGATCGATCTAAAATCTGTGGGAATGGGGTCTAAAGCACGGGGATAAAAATATATGTACATATATGTCTTTAGCTACAGGTCCAATCCGGTACAGCAGCTGGGGTCACGCCGTCAGCACTGACCTCGTTCACTGGGAAACTTGGCCTCTTGCTCTCCCGGAGACTGCCGGGGTGTTGGTCTTCAGTGGCAGTGCAGTGGCTGACATACACAACACTACAGGATTTTGCACCAAGAACACCGTAGCCTTGGTTGCAATTTTCACTGGCCATCATCCGTAAGTACTGTAACAGTCTGTTTGATACCGAATAAGTATGGAACAAATACTGTAGGCTATGTACTATTTTATTCTTACACAAACATTGGGTAAAAAGAATAAAATAATTAATATAGATGGTGTTTAGATAAAGATTTAACAAGTACTGGTACTATACTGCTGTAGTATTGTTGTCTACATTGCTCTGATAAATGAGATCCCATAAGCAGTGCCTGCGACGTTTCTTCTGATCTTTTCACAGACTATCTTGACGATATTGGTTGCGAACGAAATTTTCCGCAGAATTGACCCAAGAAGATGTTAAGAACAGCTGCAAATGTGCCGTTATTTGCGTACATTAAACGATTAAGTGAATGTATATATCCAATGTAAATGATTAGTTTTATATTTAAACATACGATGACACCCTTTATAGTGCACAAGGATGAAAATTCTGCGTGCGTATTACTAAAACCGCTCTTCACTAGTTTCTCTCAAAACAAAGTGCTGTAAAACATTTCTATGTTATACATGTATATGGCTAAACTTATTTGAGATTTTACGAACACTCTTTTCAGCCAGCAGTTTTTCTTATAACTCTGTGTTTCATTATCGTATGCACTAAACTGCATATGCGGTATGAGGCTTGTTTTTTCTCTGTTATAAAAGAACAACCCTTAGCTGATGCGGTATAATAGGTAAAACCATGTATATTAGCTGTAAATCATTTGTGAATTATATTTTGTCTGTGTAGCACACTGGACAGCCGTAAAATGGTCTCTATGCTTTTATTAATTAATTAATTAATTAATTAATTAATTAATTAATTAATTAATTATTATTATTATTATTATTAATTTATGATTATTTTTTTAAATCATTATTATTATTTGTGCACCGGTTATTTGTTATAAGGGCATCGGATCTATCTGGACAAGGGTTGGCTTACAGCTTGGATGGCGGTGTGAAGTGGACGTATTATGACAGAAATCCTGTGTTAGACGTAGGCACGACCCACTTTCGAGACCCCAAAGTATTTTGGCACGAGCCAACAAAACGATGGGTCATGGCAGTAGCACAAGCTATGGGGAAAAAAAGAGGTATCCGTCTGTTTTCATCCCCAGACCTGAAGAATTGGACGTACTTGAGTGAAAAGAATCAGCAAGGTTTGATTGCCACCAATGAAGTGGAGACCCCAAACCTTTTTGAATTAAGGGTGACAGTAGAAAACACAACCAAGTGGGTTCTGGCGGTCATTACGGGAAAAGGATCGAGTCCCCGCCGTTCAGTGATGTACTGGATTGGTATGGTGTACAAGCTTTTATTTTATATCTCATATATTCATTTATCATATTGATGTAGATTTGCAGATAGGTTGAGAACGTGAATTCTAAGATATAAGATGCAGAAAGCGCGAAACCATTAAACGAAATTACGTCGCACAAATATTCCTAAGCTCCCATTAGAGCATTAAATTAGGTTTGGTTCATGTAGCTTGGTCATGTGGAAACCGAGAGAGAGAGGGAGAGAGAGAGAGAGAGAGGCAATGTTTAGAAATTTAAGAAAGGACTATAGCTAGTTTTTCATAAACTGTCGTCTGCAAAGAGAACCAAGGCCGCATTCACAACTACGGACTAACTAGTCCGCGGATGAAATAGGTCCGACCCACTTGAATGCTTGTTGCGTAATCCCCTCGGGTTATCTGTTCAGTGTCTATTAGGTGATTAAGCGACAAGCTTTTAAGTAGGTCGCAATATTTGATCCGCGGACTAGTTTGTCTGCTGTTGTGAATGCAGCCTTAGGAGAGTGATACCTAACAAAGGTAGAGTTTCGACTGTCACAGAGAGCAAATGTGAATTGAGAATGTTGAGGGTAGATAAGGGCAACTATAGAGACACGAGTTTTTTCTATTTATAGTGGACTTCTATTGTTAAAGGCGGTCACTTTTGGGGGTAACTTTGACTCTTTTATTTATACGTCGTTTTCTAATACTTATTTTTGGGCGAGTATATAGGCAAATCTTTTTTAAGGTAGGTGAAATGCACAGTATGGTGTTTGCTTTAGTATGGTGAACAATAGAAATCCGCTTTAATTTGAAAAAAAAGGGGAAAATCTTCCTTCCATAGTGGCCCTTTTCTACTGACGAGAAGCAACAAAGTGTATAAACATATGAGCATCTCCGCATTCACAATTAATAATCTTAATGGCTGAAGATGTGCTCAAATTTGATATAAATCGCCTTCTCATAAAAGAAAATTATTTCATAAGGATCTTGGCTTCGATTATCGATTCATAATTGTCATCATTTATTATTTAGGCAACTTTGATGGAAAGCACTTTGTTCCTGACGACATAAAAGCCAGATTTGTGGACTTTGGCTACGACTTCCAAGCCTTTCAAACCTGGAACAATTATGTGGATGATCGAGTGTTGATGATTGGGTGGATGTGGTAAGACTTACGGCCAGAAAACAGATGGTTATTGCCACCTTTTCAGAGTAAAAAGCCTACCTGGTTGATACATAAGGCAGATAAATATTTGTGAATAGCTTGTAAAAATAAAAATAAAAATAAAATAAAATAAAATGAAATANCCCTTTATAGTGCACAAGGATGAAAATTCTGCGTGCGTATTACTAAAACCGCTTTTCACTAGTTTCTCTCAAAACAAAGTGCTGTAAAACATTTCTATGTTATACATGTATATGGCTAAACTTATTTGAGATTTTACGAACACTCTTTTCAGCCAGCAGTTTTTCTTATAACTCTGTGTTTCATTATCGTATGCACTAAACTGCATATGCGGTATGAGGCTTGTTTTTTCTCTGTTATAAAAGAACAACCCTTAGCTGATGCGGTATAATAGGTAAAACCATGTGTATTAGCTGTAAATCATTTGTGAATTATATTTTGTCTGTGTAGCACACTGGACAGCCGTAAAATGGTCTCTATGCTTTTATTAATTAATTAATTATTTATTTATTTATTATTATTATTATTATTATTATTATTATTATTATTATTATTATCATCATTATTATTATTATTATTATTATTAATTTATGATTATTTTTTTAAATCATTATTATTATTTGTGCACCGGTTATTTGTTATAAGGGCATCGGATCTATCTGGACAAGGGTTGGCTTACAGCTTGGATGGCGGTGTGAAGTGGACGTATTATGACAGAAATCCTGTGTTAGACGTAGGCACGACCCACTTTCGAGACCCCAAAGTATTTTGGCACGAGCCAACAAAACGATGGGTCATGGCAGTAGCACAAGCTATGGGGAAAAAAAGAGGTATCCGTCTGTTTTCATCCCCAGACCTGAAGAATTGGACGTACTTGAGTGAAAAGAATCAGCAAGGTTTGATTGCCACCAATGAAGTGGAGACCCCAAACCTTTTTGAATTAAGGGTGACAGTAGAAAACACAACCAAGTGGGTTTTGGCGGTCATTACGGGAAAAGGATCGAGTCCCCGCCGTTCAGTGATGTACTGGATTGGTATGGTGTACAAGCTTTTATTTTATATCTCATATATTCATTTATCATATTGATGTAGATTTGCAGATAGGTTGAGAACGTGAATTCTAAGATATAAGATGCAGAAAGCGCGAAACCATTAAACGAAATTACGTCGCACAAATATTCCTAAGCTCCCATTAGAGCATTAAATTAGGTTGGTTCATGTAGCTTGGTCATGTGGAAACCGAGAGAGAGAGAGAGAGAGAGAGAGAGAGAGAGAGAGAGAGAATAAGAGAGAGAGAGAGGCAATGTTTAGAAATTTAAGAAAGGACCATAGCTAGTTTTTCATAAACTGTCGTCTACAAAGAGAACCAAGGCTGCCATGGTGACTAAGGCCGCATTCACAACTACGGACTAACTAGTCCGCGGATGAAATAGGTCCGACCCACTTGAATGCTTGTTGCGTAATCCCCTCGGGTTATCTGTTCAGTGTCTATTAGGTGATTAAGCGACAAGCTTTTAAGTAGGTCGCAATATTTGATCCGCGGACTAGTTTGTCTGCTGTTGTGAATGCAGCCTTAGGAGAGTGATACCTAACAAAGGTAGAGTTTCGACTGTCACAGAGAGCAAATGTGAATTGAGAATGTTGAGGGTAGATAAGGGCAACTATAGAGACACGAGTTTTTTCTATTTATAGTGGACTTCTATTGTTAAAGGCGGTCACTTTTGGGGGTAACTTTGAATCTTTTATTTATACGTCGTTTTCTAATACTTATTTTTGGGCGAGTATATAGGCAAATCTTTTTTAAGGTAGGTGAAATGCACAGTATGGTGTTTGCTTTAGTATGGTGAACAATAGAAATCCGCTTTCATTTGAAAAAAAAGGGGAAAATCTTCCTTCCATAGTGGCCCTTTTCTACTGACGAGAAGCAACAAAGTGTATAAACATATGAGCATCTCCGCATTCACAATTAATAATCTTAATGGCTGAAGATGTGCTCAAATTTGATATAAATCGCCTTCTCATAAAAGAAAATTATTTCATAAGGATCTTGGCTTCGATTATCGATTCATAATTGTCATCATTTATTATTTAGGCAACTTTGATGGAAAGCACTTTGTTCCTGACGACATAAAAGCCAGATTTGTGGACTTTGGCTACGACTTCCAAGCCTTTCAAACCTGGAACAATTATGTGGATGATCGAGTGTTGATGATTGGGTGGATGTGGTAAGTCTTACGGCCAGAAAACAGATGGTTATTGCCACCATTTCAGAGTAAAAAGCCTAGCTGGTTGATACATAAGGCAGATAAATATTTGTGAATAGCTTGTAAAAATAAAAATAAAAATAAAAATAAAATGAAATGAAATGAAATAAATAAATAAATAAATAAAAAACACTCCATGTGGTCCCTGGTAGAGGTTAGTGTGAAACCAGATCCTGACTCCCCAGTCAATACCGGAGTATATCGCCATTAGAGTGTTTGCTGTCTGAAAATAATCAAGATTAGGGTAGGGTAAATAATAACTTTTTTGGAAATCTCTCAAGGAACAGGTGATTAGAGGCAAAATGGGTCAAAAAGTTCATTTCTAATGAGAAATTTGAGATTGGAGCATTCTTTAGGTTGGTTATTTTACTATTTTTGGAAACGCATACATTTGGCATATGTACTACATATACAGTAACTGTAGTGATGCATGTATATAATTGTATTGAAAAGTGTTGAGTGAAGCACACATTTTTGATAAGTGAGTGTTTTCTAGGGAAGAAAATGATGCTAAACACACATGTGCAACTATTTTTTTCTCACAACAACTATATATATTTAGGTTGGCAAAAATGACAATTTTCAAAATGGCGGACAAAACACCCTAACAATTAAGAGTTTCATCATCAACAATTAACGGACCCATAGTTTGTAAAATGCCTTTTCTTATGTTTTAAAGGTTGTAAGATATTTGTTCTTATGTTAACACTGCCATTGATACATTCTAAATGGAGTTTGGTTACCTTGTTGGTTGATAGTTTACTGTCAAGCTTGACAGAAGAGACAGATCTCAGTCAATCAAAACGAGGAGTGATAAGATATCTCAAGTTCTGCTGGATGTGAATTTTGAGGAAGAATCAGAGTTATTCTGACCTCAAGCAACCAAAGGGTGAATGTCTTTTAATTAATAAAAAGAGATGAATGGAATATTTTTTGTTCTGTGCGTAAGAAGCCAGGGGAGCAATCACAATCATGTACCGAGACCAACAAAGAAGTTGCCAGATAAATATCCAACGTCTGGATGTCCAAGAATATTTTCCCTCTCTTTGAGAACATTTACAACAGAATAACTGCATATTGAGGCTACATATAAAAAGCATTGTGCTTATATATGATGAATCTTTTTACTTTCGTATATCATCACTTTTAATCCTTGCACTTTACAGACAGTTAATGCTTCATAAGTTCCCCAAATCTATCATAATCCAACATACTTCTGTTGGGGAAAGTATTTCTCAAAGATAGGAAAATATTTTTTTGGAGATTCAGGCCTGTAGTCGCTCGTGGTAGTTTTGGACAAGCTTCTGACACACCTCCTGAGGAATTTTAGCCCATTCCTCTTTGGCAAATCTTTCTAGTTCCATCAGATTTGATGGTCTTCTGGCATGGACCCTAGTCTTCAGTTCATCCCAAAAATTTTCTGTTAGATTTAAGTCCGGGCTTTGGGTAGGCCAGTCCATGACATTCACTTTGGCCCTCTGGAGGTAGGCCTTTACCAGTGCTTTGGGTCGCTGTCATGTTGGAGGACTTTAATTTTTCATTTTGATCACATTTCTTTTTGAGAAATTACAATCCATATTTTTCTCTTTTTCATCGTGCATGAAGATCACTTAAATATTCGCGTCGCGTTGTTGGTTTCAAAATACGCTTTTACGCATTTTGCAACCGGTTTAGCAATAATTCATTGCTACCAACTATGGAACACAAACCATGGCTACTGCACAACTGACCAGTTGAATTTATGATGTTAAAATGCGGCTCACTTAATGTAAATTAAAAAATAATAATATTAATAAAGTAAGATAAAATAAAAAATAAAAAAAGAAAGAAAAGACACGTTAAACATATACTATTTTAAAGTTACAGGCATGCCTGTAATAATTTGAGTTAAAGTGAAAATGTGAAATGATTTAAAGGAAAACTTTAAAAGTATATAAGACATATCCTGACCGTATGTATAATATTATTATTCATTTTATAGCGTTTGAAAAATTGTATATTACTGTATATGCGTGGAAATGGTGCTAACATTTTTTAATAGTCTGCTTCACTGTGCAAATCTTCTGAGAAAAAATGAAGCAAAGTTGTCATATTGAAGTAAAACCTAGTTATTTGTATTCATGTAGCGTGTGGGACTACTGTGGACTAGTGCCAACCCGACCTTGGAAGGGAGCTCAGTCTCTGGTGCGAGAGCTTTCACTGGAAAGGGAGGCTTCTGCCATCATTCTTGTTCAGAAACCAGTCAAACAAATGGAAAAGTTAAGGTCTGCGCTGAAGCTGGAATTGGACAAGACTGATACACTGACTGTAAGTGATGGAAACGCACTAGGCTCTAAGGGAGCGTTCAGATAAATCCAACGTACTAGCTGGATCAACCCAACTCTTCTGGAGATTCTCCCTAATTGCAGCCACTGCAATCGGCTTAAATGTTTGACACGCCTCCTCGAGTTGCTAGGGGTAATTAACTAATTAACTAGCTACTCAAGGAGGCGTGTCAGACAATGAACCTAGTTACACTGAATGTACCTTAGCGAGAAAACCCAGCAGAGTTGCTTCGAACCAGCTGGTGCTATGTTTGAATCTGAACGCAGTGTAAGATGACTTATGAGACATTTGCAAGGCATAATGTGTAACTACATGTATTTGAGAACCTGTGTTGAAACCAAACCAACCTTCTATTGAGTAAGTACATGTACTGCTTTCAAACACTGTCAGCCTGATGAAGTTAACTATGCCATTTAATTAGTTTAAAGACATTTGAGAAACAGAACCAGTTTGATAACGTAAACATGGCTTCAGATACACCTGGTGAGAACCTAAGATTCTATTTAATGTAATGTTATTCAATTCTGTTTTAGGCCAGGAAGATGTTTAGAACCAAAAAAGTTCGAGGACGGTCCCTAGAAATAAAAGTAGAATTCAAGCCTCATGCAAAGACAAAGAAAGTAGGCTTTCAGATAAGATCAGGAGAGAAAGAAGAAACGATTGTTTGTTACGATCACTTTAAAAAGGCCGTGTACATTGACAGAGCTAAAAGTGGCATTATTCATAAGAAAATGAGTCTGGTAGACTCCGCTAATGTCGTCCTTCAAAATGGCACATTGAAACTGTGGATATTTCTAGACTGGTCCTCCGTTGAAGTCTTCGTAAATGACGGACGGCAGGTGATCACGAATCTTATTTTTTCTCAAAAAGATAGCAGTGATGAAGTAGACATATTTTGTTTAGGTCATGAAGCCGAGGTGGTGAGCCTGAAGATATATGAATTAAATAGTACGTGGGAGAAATACTGGAACAACAACACATGGGATGGTCTTACTGACATCTTGAAGAAAGTTAAGATGAATAATATTGAAACCCATACTAATTTAACAGAACTCAGTGCCAGTAATTACTTGTGGATTTTCATAAGCGTATTAATTGTCTGTTACGGGCTCTTGCTAAACCTGCTGTGCAGATCATTTTCCAGATATTTCTGATGAAAAAAATAATGCAGATGGTGTATCATAATAAAACAGACTGTGTCATGGATGTTCTTAAAGGCCAATATGACGGAGAAAAGCGTTTCAAAATCGGAGACTAAGTTACGTTTTCAAACGGTTCAAATCACATCTTTCACCCTCGAGAGCAAACATGTAGTGGTTACACCGATGTTGACGGCTGTCGGGCCGGTTGAGGAAGTCCATGGAGGTCACTCTGACGTCGGGCTCCATTGGATCGAAGTCGGCCCGACTTTGGGCCCTGGCGTTGTACTAGCTGGCGTAATTTATTGTGTGCAAGCCTTTTCATTAGCCTGTTTTGTCAAGACGTCATGTCGACTGCATATTATTTTTATAAACCCCAGGAATCTCTTTCTCTACTTGTGACCGTAGTAAACTTCTTGAAAAGTTTATCCTTGTTTTGCTGCAGTGAATAACAATTTTTGTAAGTATAACGCTCTACATATTGAAAAAAGCTTTATCAAAATTCGTGAAGAAATATTTTCAAGTAATTCCTCTAGTTTTGTAATTTGATTTTCATTTTTTTTTTCGGGTCAGTCCACCGCCCCTTAGCATGTCCCACGCCCCTAGGATGTCGCGGCGCCCGCGCCTAGACTATAGGATGTCGCGGCGCCCGCGCCTAGTAAGATTGATTATAAGGTATTATTATAATGAGACATTAAGGTACATATAAAGAGAACAGGTGGTGGGTAGAGAGAGGAGGTTAGGTAGTGGGAATAAAGCTGTTTGGAAAACCACGACTCTTGTTGCTCACTTCTTCTCGATCTGTGAACCTAAAATCGAACCTTACAGTATATTTAAGAAAAAGAGAAGATACAGAATAGAGACAGATGACATAAGAAGTTTAAAAGAGAAAACTTCCAGCAGAGGGGCAAACCTAGTAAATGATTAATAAGTCTAGTACATATATATTTTTATTTTCATCAGAACAAAGATCAAACATGTGTCATTTGTATACCTGAAATATGATTAAAAAGGGTCGTCTTCGGCACCTCAAACATAGGCCTACATGGACACACACTAAATCGCGCTCGAAAAAATAAGGCCAATCACGCGGAAAGTAAAAGGTACTCCTTTTCCTCACCTACTGCCCTGACATTGAAAGGGCTCCGGACTAAAGATCTCTTTTCAATCGAAAAATCTACTTTTTCCTTTGTAGCCTCAAGCTCATGCGAAATGGCATGGCAAAATTTCTCACCTGGATTAATCCGAATTTGAGATTTTCATATGTCTAAAACCAATAGGTTTGTTATAAAGTAGGAAAAAATTATCAATAATATTCATTTCTAAATAGTTGTCCGCGCCCCCCCCCCAAAAAAAATTAAAATTAAAAGTTTGAAAATACCATATAATATATCACAGCTTATATAGAGGACAGATATACATTTTTCAAAAAGCTGGATATCCAAAAAAATAATATAAATGAAATTTCTATAGAAAATTCAATGGCAGAAATTGGAGGCAATTAGCAAAATTTCTTGGTAAGATTTTTTATCTAAGACAGAAAAAAACTTATGTGCAACAGCCTGCCAACAGGTGTGTTACTTATAAGCCCGCCCGAAGAGCTGGGTGTTCATTTCACATGACAAGTTATGATGAAAATATCAGCCTCATACCACGTTATAAAACCCAGTCATACATGTCTGTCGTAACAAAGCCAATATGGGTCTTTAGGTACAATGTGCACCAATACATTTTTCAAGTATTGGGAGGCGTGTAAAACAGCCTTATATTCAACTGACCAGTAGAGCGATATGGATCAGAGCGTCCATTGTGACGTAGACGGTCCACCTTCAATAATTGTCATATGGTTCAATTTGTTTCGGCCATGGTGATACTTAGCTGAGGGTCCCATTGGGGGTGGTGATCACAGCTCACATGAATTTAAATCACCAATTCACAAATCACAGTAAATTATACTTTTCATACTATTGTCACATACATATGTCACTAAAAATACGTGTCGAAAATCCCGAATATCACGAGTAACTAGATGTGATGGCTTTGTTTCACGAGCGGCGGAGAATAAAAAGCTGCATCCACTAGTCACGGGAATGGGGTGCTTCACAGATCACTGTTAATAAAAACAACGTTCCACACATCTTGTGAAATAAAAAAGTGGCTTTCACTACAAACGAAATACCCAATGGAACCCTCTAATTTTACACTTTCACGCGGTACCATTCACATAAATAAAACAATTTTTTCTATACCATATGCCAGTATAGCTGGACATCTAGAGACAATAATGACTTAAAGTTTAAACTGTCAGTGAGTGTAGAGAAGTTCACGAGGAGCAAAATAATGCGTCGGATGTTTGGTAAGTCAATAACTATTTTCTAATATTATGACCTTGTGTACAAAGCAAAATCTTGAACAAAATAAGTTGTACTTTAGTTGACGAAAGATGGGTGGGTGTTGTCTGACCTTTAGTTGCCACTGCAGAAATGACGAGTTTTTTAAAAAAAGATTAGCTACAGAGCAGGACCCACCCTGTTAACAGCGGTAAAATGTTGTATTGTACAGTTTAAGTGTCAATAAACGTGTCATTTTCTTCTGACCATCAAGTTACTACCTGTCCCGTTCGGGAGCTCCCAAACCAATAATCCGCTCCCCCCCCCCCCCGCCCGAAAGTGTCCAGATATAGCCCGTACTCAAACTGATTTTCAAGCCTGAAAAATGATTTAAATTTTTTTTTGCATTAATATCTATTAATATCATTACAAAAGAAACGAGAAAAAACTTTTTTGATCAATTTCAAAAGGGCATTATAATGTATCTATCCCCCTTTATAAGTCTATTGTAGATAGCGAGTCAGCGACATATATGTGATATACATGAGTTAAAAGATTGTCACATTTGATTTTTTTTTTTTGGGGGGGGTCGCACATGTAGATATAGAGGGGCCACAAAAGTATTGGACCATTTTTCTTGAAGTTGAACAACAAGTGGGTTTTTCAATTAGTATTTTATTGAAAAGTAATAAAGTCAAGTTAGTATCTTAACTACAGGTTTACAAATCAGTGCTTATCCTTACAAAAAATCCTCCAAGCATTAACAGCATAAAAGACGCCTGTTGTCTCTGGCCTTGTCTTCTTTGGGCGGCCATTTTGTAGTATTATGAGGGCATCGCCAGTGCCCTCCATCCTGCTGCGTATCCTCGTATAAAGTCTGCCCTGATACACAATGGGGACTGCTATATCCTCTTCCCTCGGGAATACATTTCTTTTCTTTCTTCATTTGAAGTCCATAAGGTCTGGTCGGAAAATTCGCTTAGAAATGAACATGCTATTGTTTATTGAGTGAAAAATATTTGGAGTGTTATAAATTTCGAATGTCCCTAATTAATCACTTTTGGGTTCGCTTATTTCATATTCCTTGCCAATATGCCATGATTTGAACATGAAGACTGGAACTTTTTTCCTGTTAATGTGGTGAGTTGACCAGCCAATACGATCAGTCAAATTGACACCTACCGTCTTGTGACTTTGACCTTTACTATCAGAGGGTAGAAAGTTGACAGTCAGAAGGGCGTTAAACATTCCATGGCACCCTTTATGGTGCACATGGATGAAAATTTATCACTGGTTACGCGAGCAATGAACCGCGAACCACCCCGGACAAACGGGTCCTCCTTGTCACATAGTGCACCATTCGCAGATTGCGTAATATTTTTGTCACGCCTCTGAAAATTTGGGAAATGCAGTATTGTAATTCTTTTGATAAAGGCTGGTATATTCGACAGCATAAATATTATGTTTTAGGTATGATAAGAGACGTCCATAAGGGAAAAATAAAAGTTCACCTCACACTACTTCTGATGTGGATGAGAATGGCAAGTGGAGAAAATGCACCGCCTCAATACCGTGAAAAATGGCGACCACAATATCACTATACTCCTCCAAAGAACTTTATGAACGACCCTAGCGGACTAGTTGCATTCGATGGTCTATATCATTTATTTTATATATACGACCCTAGCGGTAAGTACATACACATAGCTTTTACCCATCAGCAGTACAATGTACGTATTTTAAATGAGCAAAATGGATTTTAATTATGCTATCGTATTTTATTTTATCGACAAATCAAATCAATTTGTATTTTATGCTTTTATGTATAAATATGGCTTAAATTATTATTATTATCATATTGAAATGACATCGATATATTAAAGCTACTCTATGGCCACATTCACAACAAAGTTGACAGATCCGTGGATCCAATATAGCCGGACCACTTGAAAGTTTGCTGCATTATTCCCTAATAAACACTAAATAGATACCCCTCAGGATAATGCAGCAACCTTTCAAGTGGATCGGACATATTTGATCCGCGGATCTGTTTGTCCGTGGACCAACTTTGTTTTGAATGCGGTCTATACGGGATTTACCAGCCAAAATGAATTTTCCACAAGGGGGGAGGGAGAGGAGAGGGGGGAGGATTATTTTTGTCTCACGAATCCTTGCTTGACGCATCCTTGCACTTGGATTCGAACCTTTGTTTTTCATTTTTGATTAATTTAACGATTTAAACAGGCGCTTGTATTTGAAGGGTTTCAGAGTTTTGAAGGTGTGACTTGGAAAAAATCGAAAGCTAAGCAGACAGACGCTTAAGCCGACTAATTTGACTGTAATCTAGTGAGACTCCCCACAGGGATAGATCGATCTAAAATCTGTGGGAATGGGGTCTAAAGCACGGGGATAAAAATATATGTACATATGTCTTTAGCTATAGGTCCAGTGCAGTACAGCAGCTGGGGTCATGCCGTCAGCACTGATCTCGTTCACTGGGAAACTTGGCCTCTTGCTCTCCCGGAGACTGCCGGGGTGTTGGTCTTCAGTGGCAGTGCAGTGGCTGACATTCACAACACCACCGGATTTTGCACCAATGACACCGTAGCCTTGATTGCAATTTTCACTGGCCATCATCCGTAAGTACTATTTGATAACGAATACTTTTCACCCAGCAGTTTTCCTTATTACTGTTTTTGCCGTAGGCCATTCATTATATGCACTAGACTGCATATACAGTATGACGCTTGTTTTTTTTCTTTTTTTTTTTAAACAAAACAACCCGAAATAAACGTAGCGGATGCGGTATAAGATATAAGTACGTGTATATTAGCTGTAAATTATTTGTGAAATATATTGTGCCTGTGAAGAACACACTGGACAGCCGTAAAATGGTCTTCATCCTTTTGTTATTATTATTATTATTATTATTATTATTTTATGATTATTTTTAAAATCATTATTATTATTTGTGCACCGGTTATTTGTTATAAGGGCATCGGATCTATCTGGACAAGGGTTGGCTTACAGCTTGGATGGCGGTGTGAAGTGGACGTATTATGACAGAAATCCTGTGTTAGACGTAGGCACGACTCACTTTCGAGACCCCAAAGTATTTTGGCACGAGCCAACAAAACGATGGGTTATGGCGGTAGCACAAGCTATGGGAAAAAACAGAGCTATCCGTCTGTTTTCATCCCCAGACCTTAAGAATTGGACTTACTTGAGTGAAAAGAATCAGCAAGGTTTGATTGCCACCAATGAAGTGGAGACCCCAAACCTTTTTGAATTAAGGGTGACAGTAGAAAACACAACCAAGTGGGTTTTGGCGGTCATTACGGGAAAAGGATCGAGTCCCCGCCGTTCAGTGATGTACTGGATTGGTATGGTGTACAAGCTTTTATTTTATATCTCATATATTCATTTATCATATTGATGTAGATTTGCAGATAGGTTGAGAACGTGAATTCTAAGATATAAGATGNAAGAAAACACAACCAAGTGGGTTCTGGCGGTCATTACGGGAAAAGGATCGCGTCCCCGCCGTTCAGTGATGTACTGGATTGGTATGGTGTACAAGCTTTTATTTTATATCTCATATATTCATTTATCATATTGATGTAGATTTACAGGTAGATTGGGGGTGCAACTGTGGAGGCAAATGTTTTTCCATTTTTCGATTTTTAATGCACTCCTACTGTTTAAGGTAGTTGAAATGCACAGCGGGGGTGTTTGCTTTACTATGCTGAATAATAGAAATCCGCTTTAAATAAAAAATCCTAGTGGCCCTTTGCTACAGGCAAGAAGCGGCAAAGTGTATAACTTATGAGTATCCTGGTATTCACAAATTATAATCTTCATGGATGAAGATTTGCTTAAATTTGATATAAATCGCTTTCTCAAAAAAGAAAATAATAGCATAAGGATCATGGCATTATCGCTTCATAATTGTCATCATTTATTATTTAGGTAACTTTGATGGAAAGCAGTTTGTTCCTGACGATATAAAAGCCAGCTTTGTGGACTTTGGCTACGACTTCCAAGCCTTTCAAACCTGGAACAATTATGTTGATGATCGAGTGTTGATGATAGGATGGATGTGGTAAGACTTAAATGTTGAAGGAATAAATATATGGACCATTCCCAGACCATATCGTGCTAACTTTGGATCGATCTATCTCTGAGGGGATTTTCGCTAAATTGCAATCAACTTAAGCTTAGATGTGTGTCAATCCTACTGATGCTAGGATGTAATCAATTATCGTTTAGCAGCTTCAGTAGGCGTACCAATCATCTAAGCAGCTTAAGCTGATAGCAATTTAGCGAGAACCCCCTTGGAGATGGACCGATCCTGTTAAATCGAACTAGGTATGGGAAACCTAGTCTTACGACCAGAAAAGAGTTGGTTAATGTCGTCATTTCAGAGGGAAAATCCTCGCCGGTTATAGCACAGGAGCGTGCACTGCATTAGGCTGAGAAATATTTGTTAATTGCTTGTAAAAAACACTCCATGTGGTCCCTGGTAGAGGTTAGTGTAAAACCATATCCTGACTCCCCAGTCAATACCGGAGTATTTTACCATCAGAGTTTTTGTCATTTGAAATTAACCAAGAATCCTATCTGAAAGCTCTTTACCCAATCGGGATTAATTACGTTTTTTTGGGAACAGTATTTGCAACTAGACAAATACGAGAAAACGCATTTTGCAATCCAAACAATTTTTGTAGTCATTGAAAGGGGATTCAACCTTTAAGATTTTATTAATCAACGAGTTAAAGTTAAATTCATTTATTTACTATTTATTTATTATCACCCAGGGTGTTTATTTACTTTTTACAATAATACGTTTGTAAAACACTTTGTGTCTAATTGGGTTCAGATAAACTTTTTGCTGCTTTTAAGTAAACTGATCGATTCATTTTATTCAGTTTATTCGATAGTTTGTGTTTTCAACTAACTGTTTAAAGATAAAAGATTATATGATGCGAAATTTACATGCGAAATTTACATGAAGTATCCAACTCTTTCGTTTTGGTCACATTTTTTTTTTGAGAAATTACAATCAAAAAAATTTTTTTCATCGTACATGTAGATCACTTAGATATTCATGTCTCGTTTTTGATTTCAAAATACGCTTTTCCTTTTCCTTTGCATCATGCAATCGAACGCATTTTGCAACTGGTTTAGCAATAATTGCATTCATTCCTGCCAACTCTTGGAACACAAACTATGATCGCATTCACAACGAGTTGAGCCATGGCTTTACAAATCCTGGAACTAAATATGGCGGACGTACATAAAAGAAAAGGCGTGTGAGAGGCGGAGAGACTATTAAAAGATTAGGCGGTTTTTCTTTCATGTACGTCCGCCATATTTAGTTCCAGGATTTGTAAAGCCATGGCTCAACTCGTTGTGAATGCGATCTATGGTGTCTCTACAACTGATCATTTGAAATCATGACGTGAAGGTGCGGCTCACGTAATGTAAATTTTCAAAAAGAAAAAATACATGTTTGGCATATATTTATTTTTCATATAGTTTGTAAGCAAAGTTACAGACATACCTTCTTGAATGAAAATAATTTAAAGAAAAAAACTTAAAAATATATTAACCCTGTCCTCACCGTATGTATAATTGTATTACCCATTTTATAGCGTTTAAAAAATTGCAAATAACAGTATATGCTTGGAAAAATTGCTTACAATTTTGATAGTCTGCTTAATTGTGCAAAATGTCGAAATATCCAATAGGGGCCACCATATAATTGTGCAAATCTTCTGAGAAAAGAAATAAGCAAAGTTGTCAGATTGAAGTAAAACATTGTTGTTTGTTTGTCATGTAGCGTGTGGGACTACTGTGGACTAGTGCCAACCCAACCTTGGAAGGGAGCTCAGTCTCTGGTGCGAGAGCTTTCACTGGAAAGGGAGGCTTCTGCCATCATTCTTGTTCAGAAACCAGTCAAACAAATGGAAAAGTTAAGGTCTGCGCTGAAGCTGGAATTGGACAAGACCGATACACTAACTGTAAGTGATGAAAACTCACTAGGCTCTAAGGGAGCGTTCAGATAAACCCATCTTGTTAGCTGGATCAACCCAACTCTGCGGGATATTCTCCCTATTTGCACCCACTTTAATCGGCTTAAATGTCTGACACGCCTCCTCGAGTTGCTAGGGGTAATTAACTAATTAACTAGCTACACAAGGAGGCGTGTCAGACAATGAACCTCGTTACACTGAATGCACTGTAGCGAGAATCCCCCGCGGAGTTGGATCGATCTAGCTGGTGCTATGTTTGAATCTGAACGCAGTGTAAGATGACTTATGAGACATTTGCAAGGCATATTGTGTAACTACATGTATTTGAGAACCTGTGTTGAAACCATACCAACCTTCTAAATTGAGTAAATACATGTAATCCATGAGTAATGGGGACTCCGAGTATTTTACTGCTTTTAAACACTGTCAGCCTGATGAAGTTAACTATGTCATTTAATTAGTTTAAAGACATATGTGAAACAGACTTAGTTTGAAAATGTAAGCATGTGCTTCAAACACAGCGGGTGAGAACCTAAGATTCCATTTATTAAATTTTTATTTAATTCTATTTTAGGCCAGGAAGATGTTTAGAACCAATAAAGTTCGAGGACGGTCCCTAGAAATAAAAGTAGAATTCAAGCCTCATGCAAAGACGAAGAAAGTAGGCTTTCAGATAAGATCAGGAGAAAAAGAAGAAACGATTGTTTGTTACGATCACTTTAAAGAGGCGGTGTACATTGACAGAGCTAAAAGTGGCATTATTCATAAGAAAATGAGTCTGGTAGACTCCGCTAATGTCGTCCTTCAAAATGGCACATTGAAACTGTGGATATTTCTAGACTGGTCCTCCGTTGAAGTCTTTGTGAATGACGGACGACAGGTGATCACGAATCTCATTTTTCCTCAGAACGATAGCAGTGATGAAGTAGACATATTCTGTTTAGGCCATGAAGCCGAGGTGGTGAGCCTGAAGATATACGAATTGAATACTACGTGGGAGAAATACTGGAACAACAACACATGGGGTGGGCTTACTGACAACTTGAAGAAAGTTCATATATTTAAGATGAACAGTATAAAAGCCCATTCTAATTTAACAGAAGTCAGTGACAGTAACTACTTGTGGATTTTCATAAGCGTATTAATTGTCTGTTACGGGCTTTTGCTAAACCTGCTATGCAGATCATTTTCCAGATATTTCTGATGAAATAAAACAATGCAGGTAGTGTATCATAATAAAACAGACTGTGTCATGGATGTTCTTAAAGGCCAAAGTGACGGAGAAAAGCGTTTCAAAATCGGAAACTAAGTTGCGTTTTCAAACGGTTCAAATAACATCTTTCGCCCTTGAGAGCAAACAGTGGTTACACCGATGTTGACGCCTGGCGGGACGGTTGAGGTGGGCGATCGAGGTCACCCTGACGTTGGGCTAATGCCTTCAATGGATCGACGTCAGCCCGACTTTGGGCCCCTGGCGTTGTACTAGCTAGCGTAATTTATTGCGTGCAAGCCTTTTCATTAACCTGTTTTGTCAACAAGTCATTTCGACTTATTAATAACCCCTGGAATCTCTTTCTCTACTTGTGACCGTAGTAAACTTTTTGAAAAGCTTATCTTTGTTTTGCTGCAGAATTATGGGCTGATAACAATTTTTGTATAACGCTCTAAGTATTGAAACAAACTTTTATCAAAATTCGTAAAGAAATATTTCACTAGATTTATGATTTGATTTTGATTTTCCTTTTTTCGGGTCAATTTTTAATGTTTTTATTAACTCGCAGAAATTTAAATAATAGTAGCAAGTCACTCTAGTTTTAGCTTAAATCAATAGTTAAACCGGCTGGTATGTGATTTACTTGAGTGCCCATGCGTATCTAAAAACCTTGATTCCATATGAAATATGTATTTTAATGTATTAAATTTTGGGATCATTCTATATAAGTATTTAACTTGTAAATAGTGTGAACGGTAAATCTTTCTTTTTTCCCGAAACTATCAACAATTATGGAATGATTTTGGAGGTTGAAGAAATTGGCAGAGAAAAGGCAATAACATGAGGTAGCACTGTCTAACTTTTTACCTTCATAGAAAATGTTCACAAAGTTTGTCACATTTATAATTAGAAAACCACTTAGAGAGTGCAGACCTCTGCCAAGGAAGATCAACTCTCATTCATATCTATTAATTAGTTAGTTCAATTCCCATTGTAATTAATTGATTATTCATTAATTCAGTCCTCATTTTTAATCAATCAATCAATCAATTAATTAATTAATCATCACCAAAATCTAGCCCATTTCTGATCTATCTTGAAAATTCCATGAAAATCTCAACTCTCAATATGCCACGTGAGTAACTTTGCAATTTGTAACAAAAGAGTATTTTTACTACTACATACTGTATATTATCCACCACACTGATAAAACCTTTTTAAAACATCTTTATCCTCCTATCCGTATGACCCGGGCGCTGTGACGGTGGCTTAGCTAGGGCAAATGTACACTAAAAACAACTTATTTCATTCATAGTTAAGTTTTTTATGGTGTTCTTTGAAGTGTTCCTAGAAAGACTCCATCAACATTTCAAATTAGCATTAAATATTTTTCTTTATCAGAAACTTAATTGGAATTGAGTTTGCCGCCGCCAGCTTTCTCGCAAATGAACCCCATTTCACCAGTGCATTGGAAGTCATCCCAGTAGTAGGTAAATCCCTTATATAGACAGAGACAACGCTGGCGTGAGGGACTATCCGGCTGCCCAGGGTTCCACCTCGTGTAGCTGTTGATAGAACGACTGGTAGATTGCCACTCCCATTGTCCTTCCTGGACTAACGAACCACTAGTCCAGTAACCGGACAGTTTAGAAGAGGCTGTAAAATAAGGATCACAGGTTATTCTTTGTTTCACCGGGTACTTCGGTCTTGTAATTGTGTTTTTTTTTAGTAAGTTCTGCTATCCATCATTAAGCCAGTTGTCAGATTATAAGGATTTTGGGATGTCGAGAAGATTCACTTAATTTACAGTCAAACTTTGAACAAATAATCGCTTGGACAATGTGCTCCGAACATGCTAATTGTTTCGTTCATACTGTATGTAAATCAATTTTCGCGTGAAAAGATGTTGGCATGTAGCGATTTCCTTACGGATTTTATAAATTAGGTTAATTTGGCAAAATCAACTATAATTCAATTAATCTTTTTCAACATTACTGTATTTGATGTTGCTAACGACTTGATAGTTTTTATTCAGAATACAGGTACACTGTACTTTAAGATGACTCCGGCCAAAAGACCAATTCTTAGACCCGCTTTGAGACCGACATACGTGTACAATATAAAGGTAAGAGTCCATTCACAACCAGTTGAGCCCCGGACTAACTAGAAAGCATGTGCCTTTGTGTGGTTGCTGGGACGACGCGTGTGAGGTGATCATTGAGCGTCAAATTTGATTCACGGACAAGTTAGTCCCCGGCTCAGCTGGTTGTGAATGCTCTCTAAGTGCCTCTTACCTGACATGGACAGGATCTGGTTGTATATGAAGTTGTCTTCTGCATAGGTTTCTATGGCAACAAGATCAGCACCCAAATTCTGGCATTCCTGTCTCGCTGCATCCCATGACTTCTTAATCGTGCCAAAGAAATAGCAATTCTTGTCAAACTTTATAAATCTGGAGTCACAGCTTCGACCGCCTAGAAACAAAAGACAATGAGACAGTGAGAGAAGCTAGAAATTTACAACCAAATTGATCTGCTATATCAGTGAAATAATTATTATTATTTTTGAATCACTGCTTTAAAGCCTGCTTTTCCAAAAGGCAAATAATTTTTTTTAAAGTAAGAAGCAGCGTAAAAGTGCTGGTGCCTTACTACTTCTGAACCTAAACCGGTATCTTCGCCAGTTTAAAGTGATAATTTTATATTTTTCTTACCTCTCACACTTTGCGCAGCCAAAGTCAGACCTACAATCAACAGCAAAACGTAATTCCCAGGCATCATATTTTTATCTCCAGTAAACCCAAAACAGCCTGATTCTTGGTTTAATTCTTACGTTATTGACAAGTGTTTTTGGCGAGTCTGTTGCAAGTGGATTGCTTTGAGTCAGTTTATAAGCGGTACCGGGGATATGTGTTCAATTATGATTGTCTACAAATATAGAAGGAAATACAAGCCATTTCAAAATTTAATTAACTGAATGGTAATAATAAATGATATAATCAGATGGTGCTACCACAGACTTTTTTCAGGCTACAGAATTTGAATGTTTTGGGTTGCACACTTTTAGATTGATATGTCAATAATAAATGACCCAATCTTGATGTCAAAGCTGATTTCCTTAAAATTTCAGTGGATGTGTCCACATAATTATTTTGGGTTAGAGAATATGAATGCTTTGGGTTGCACACTTTTAGATTGAAATATCAATAATCGATAATAAATTCTGTAGCCTGAAAAAGTCTGTGGTAGAACCATCTGATTGTATCATATTTATTATTAACGTTCAGTTAATTAAACTTTGTAGTGAAAATCCAAAGATAACAGTTATGTAAAAAGTCTGTGGTAGCACCATCTGATTGCATCATATTTATTATTAACGTTCAGTTAATTAAATTTTGTAATGAAAATCCAAATATAGCAGTTATGTAAACAGTTTCATTATCATTGTTCCTCGTGATTTCTTGGAAATAAAGCCTGTTCAGCAGATTTCTCAAACTATGCCAACCTAAAAATGGACAAAAAAGAAAAAAAGGGCTTGGTATAATTGTAGCTTTTCTACCATGTAGTATGAAGATCACGCTACCAATTCTAATATTAATTAAAATAGGACTAAAAGTTTAGTCTTACTCCAAGAATCATCTTGACTCGAAAAGTCAAAACCTCGAAAACTCGAAAAGTCGAAATATCCGATAGGGGCCACCACATAATTGTGCAAATCTTCTGAGAAAAAGAAATGAAGCAAAGTTGTCAGATTGAAGTAAAACCTGGCTGTTTGTCATGTAGCGTGTGGGACTACTGTGGACTAGTGCCAACCCAACCTTGGAAGGGAGCTCAGTCTCTGGTGCGAGAGCTTTCACTGGAAAGGGAGGCTTCTGCCATCATTCTTGTTCAGAAACCAGTGAAAAAATGGAAAAGTTAAGGTCTGCGCTGAAGCTGGAATTGGACAAGACTGATACACTGACTGTAAGTGATAGAAACGCACTAGGCTCTAAGGGAGCGTTCAGATAAATCCAACGTACTAGCTGGATCAATCCAACTCTGCGGGAGATTCTCCCTAAATGCACCCACTTTAATCGGCTAAAATGTCTGACACGCCTCCTCGAGTTGCTAGGGGTAATTAACTAATTAACTAGCTACTCAAGGAGGCGTGTCAGACAATGAACCTCGTTACACTGAATGTACTTTAGCGAGAATACCCAGCACAGTTGCATCGATCCAGCTGGTGCTATGTTTGAATCTGAGAACCTGTGTTGAAACCATACCAACCTTCTAAATTGAGTAAATACATGTAATCCATGAGTAATGGGGACTCCGAGTATTTTACTGCTTTTAAACACTGTCAGCCTGATGAAGTTAACTATGTCATTTAATAAGTTTAAAGACATATGTGAAACAGAACTAGTTTGAAAATGTAAACATGTGCTTCAAACACAGCGGGTGAGAACCTAAGATTCCATTTATTAAATTTTTATTTAATTCTATTTTAGGCCAGGAAGATGTTTAGAACCAATAAAGTTCGAGGACGGTCCCTAGAAATAAAAGTAGAATTGAAGCCTCATGCAAAGACGAAGAAAGTAGGCTTTCAGATAAGATCAGGAGAAAAAGAAGAAACGATAGTTTGTTACGATCACTTTAAAGAGGCGGTGTACATTGACAGAACTAAGTGGCATTATTCATAAGAAAATGAGTCTGGTAGACTCCTCTAATGTCCTGCTTCAAAATGGCACATTGAAACTGTGGATATTTCTAGACTGGTCCTCCGTTGAAGTCTTCGTGAATGACGGACGACAGGTGATCACGAATCTCATTTTTCCTATAAAAGATAGCAGTGATGAAGTAGACATATTTTGTTTAGGTCATGAAGCCGAGGTGGTGAGACTGAAGATATATGAATTAAATAGTACGTGGGAGAAATACTGGAACAACAATACATGGGATGGTCTTACTGACATCTTGAAGAAAGTTAAGATGAATAATATTGAAACCCATACTAATTTAACAGAAGTCAGTGCCAGTTTACTTGTGGATTTTCATAAGCGTATTAATTGTCTGTTACGGGCTCTTGCTAAACCTGCTGTGCAGATCATTTTCCAGATATTTCTGATGAAAAAAAATAATGCAGATGGTGTATCATAATAAAACAGACTGTGTCATGGATGTTCTAAAGGCCAATATGACGGAGAAAAGCGTTTCAAAATCGGAGACTAAGTTACGTTTTCAAACGGTTCAAATCACATCTTTCACCCTCGAGAGCAAACATGTAGTGGTTACACCGATGTTGACGGCTGTCGGGCCGGTTGAGGTAGGCCATGGAGGTCACTCTGACGTCGGGCTGCTTGCAAATGCCTCCATTGGATCGAAGTCGGCCCGACTTTGGGCCCTGGCGTTGTACTAGCTGGCGTAATTTAGGCCACACTTTTTTATTTTTATGGATGACATCCTGCGCGCGCACCGATTTTCGTCCGTTCTCCGAAAAAAAAAAAAAAAATCCACCCCCCCCCCAACGAAGTCAGTTGTCGCTGTGCATGCGTATTATCGCCACGTGGAAATATGGCCGCTTTGCCGTCAAATTCATCTCTAGGATTACTTTCAAATTACAAGACAATGAATTATATAAAGTAATAAAGAGAAGGGGGCGTCGTTTTGGATTGTTATGCCATTGATATTGGGCATGGAGATATCCACTTTTTTTTTTACAATTATGCGAAAGGATGGCGGCGGCCAGCGATTATCGCCCGGAAAATTTCAGTGACATTCTGTCCAAAGCAGCACATACCAGGTTTTTTTGTAGCGAAAAAAGAGTCGACAGAGCGTCGAGGTATTTGGTGGGCTGAAGGTCAGTCAGGCCACCCGACAGTTTGGCTGCTTCGTGTGAGTCGAAGTGGACCAAATGGCATCGACCAAAATGACCTTTTCTAGATTTGGTAGTATTATCTTTGCATCATTTTTAAACATTTCTGTGAAGTGTTCATAATGCTTTAATATTCTGAGAGTACAAATAAAGACACACCGTTTGTTTGATATTTGTTTTATTGATTGTTATACCAACAAAATGCATGAAATAACCTTAAATAGATTTGGTAATATGCAGCATATCTATCAGGCCCGTAGCCAGCAATTTCAAAAGGGGGGTTCTTTTTCTAAAAAAGTGGACTTTTTTCCATAAAAACTTCATGTAGGCCTACCTAGATCAAATTTTACCAAGAGTGAATCTTTTTCTAGCAAAAAAGGTGGTTCTTTCGAACCCCCCGACACCCCCCCTGGCTACGGACCTGTCTATTCATGACTTTTTTACCTTTCCACGAAGTATTCACAATGTTTTTATATTTTGAGAGCATGGATAAAGACATATTGTTAGTTTGATACGTGTTTCTGTGGAAAATTTGTGTTTCCAGCTGTGTACTGACAGCATTCCTTTACATAAGCAGCATTTTTTTTTTTGGACTGTTTTTTTTTTTTTTTTTTTTTTCGCCCTCTCGCACCGATTTTGGGGTCCCCAGAGGATGTCATCCATAAAAATAAAAAAGTGTGGCCTTATTGTGTGCAAGCCTTTTCATTAGCCCGTTTTGTCAAGAAGTCATGTCGACTGCATATTATTTTTATAAACCCCAGGAATCTCTTTCTCTACTTGTGACCGTAGTAAACTTCTTGAAAAGTTTATCCTTGTTTTGCTGCAGTGAATAACAATTTTTGTAAGTATAACGCTCTACATATTGAAAAAAAACTTTATCAAAATTCACGAAGAAATATTTTCAAGTAATTTCTCTAGTTTTGTGATTTGATTTTAATTTTTTTCCGGGTCAGTGTTAACTTTCTTAGCAACTCGCACAAATTGAAGTAATTGTAGCAAATCACTGTATGCCGTTTTAGCTTAAATCTTTGGTAAAATTGGTTAGTATATAACGTACTTGAGTGTTTTATGTATTAAATGTGGGATCTTCATATATTAGCATTTTTAAAACGTTTAAACAGCGAGAACAGAAATCTTTTTTTTCTTTTTTTTTTTTGTAAATATAATGATGAATGTGATAATTTCCCCGATATTATTCACAATTATGGAATAATTTTGGAGGTGGAAGAAATTTGCACAGAAAAGGCAATATCCAGAGGTAGCACTGTCGGTTTCTTTATATATACTGTAGTATAACTTTTTACTTTCATAAAAAATGTTCAAAAAGTTTGTCACATTTATAACTAGAATAGCACTCAGGCCTCCGCCAAGACGCTCAGAGAGTGCAGACCTCCGCCAAAGAAGATCAACTCTCATTCATATCAACTAGTTAATTCAATTCCCATTGTCATTAATTATTTAATGATTAATTAATTCAGTTCTCATTATTAATCGACCAATCAATTAATTAATAATCACTAATGTCCAATGTTCATGAAAATCTAAACTCTTAATATTCCTGGGAGTAAGTTTACAATTTGTGACAAAAGAGTACTTTTACTGGTATCATCCACCACACTGATGAAACCTTTTTAAGTGTGAGATAATACACTGTCACCCGAGCGATATATGCCATGGCATATATCGCGAGAGGGTGACAGTGTATTATTTGACATACATACCGAGAAAAAATACAGTCATTTCATTCTAAAACACCCCTAAAACCGAATAAAGTGACCCTATATCACGCCCTAGAGATGTTATACGGAATAAACTCGTCCACGTGCGCTGGTCACCTCCCGCCAAATTCTTACGTAATGTCTGACCAATTTGGTCAATTTTGCTAAATACTTGTCATGGACGTCCAACTGGCTTGAAAAGTATTTAATCAACCGTCGACACTGACCATGCGCGTCTCAGCTGAGCCACACCTAGCTGGGACTGTTGCGGAAAAAAGGTCCCACGGCAAAACCTCTACTTTTTAGTGAGTTTTCTGATAAACAAGGAGCGTCGGACTGGAATATAGTCAAACTAATTTTTCACAAGTGCAAAGGAGAAAGAAATTTACTTTTTGGTGATATTTATGACAACGAGGCAGTTACGGAATATAGTCAAAATCAAGCGGATGTTTATTTCAAGTCCACAGGAGTAATAATTCTACGTTTTTTTTTACTACGAGGCGGTTTCGGAATATACATGTGCTGGTTTTCATGGCATTTATGTGCTCAGGGCCGTAGCCTGAGCAAAATGNGTGGGGGGGGGGGGGGGGGGGGGGGGGGGGGGGGGGGGGGGGGGGGGGGGGGGGGGGGGGGGGGGGGGCAGCTGCCCCCCTGCCCCCCCGGAGGCTACGGCCCTGGTGCTAAATGTAATTACAAGTTCAAAGGGGGAATAGATTTGATTTTTACCGATATATCTGATAAAAAGGAAGAATGAACAGCTTAGAAGCAAAAGGTAAATAACACAACCCTCGTTAAAAAGTTATAGATTTACAAATAATGTGTATGCACGTGTGGCTTAAATGTTAACTTATTCCCGACTTAGTGTTATAAAATTATAGATAATAATTGCTAAACGTGAAAAGTTTATGCTAATTTTTCAAGAGTGTGAGAGATTTTAAATTTGTTTACTGGTAGGTATATAACGCAAGCAATGATCACTCTGTCTTTGGCTTTCAGCATTTAAGAGACCTCGACTGATTTAACCAAGATGTAGTCGTGAAATTCTAGACTACATCGAGGTTAAATCCGAGTTTTCCGAGAGACGCTACGTAGAAATGTCGAGTGAAGCGAGATATTTTTGAGTAGCGGCTCGAGGTTGCTCTCGATCTTCACTGAAGCTTGGCTAAATGGACAGGCTTCAGTGATCAGCATATCGCCACGGTCATATAACATCCCTAGCTATGTATACATTTTATCCTCCCATTCGTATGACCCGGGCGCTCTGAGGGTGGCTTAGCTAGGGCAAATGTACACTTAAAACAACTTATTTCATTCACAGTTAAGATTTTTATTGTGATCTTTGAAGTGTTCCTAGAAAGACTCCATCAACATTTCTTATTAGCGTAAAATATTTTTCTTTCTAAGAAACTGAATCGGAATTGGGTGGAGTGCCGCCAGCTTTCTCGCAAATAAACCCCAATTCATTAGAGCAGTAGAAGTCATCCCAGTAGAAGGAAAATTTCGTATATAGATTAAGACAATGCTGGGTCACGGGATTATCTGGCTGTCCAGGATACCACCTTGTGTAGCTGTTGATAGAACGACTGGTAGATTGCCACTCCCATCGTCCTCTGTGGACCATCAAACCACTAGTCCAGTAACCAAGCAGTTGAGAAGAGGCTGTAAAATAAGGACCACAGGTTATTCTTTGTTTCACCGGATACTTCGGTCTTGTAATTGTGTTTTTTTAGTACGAACTGCTATCCACCATTAACCCAGTAGTTGGATTGTAAGGATTTTGAGATGTCGCAAAAATTCATTTAATTTACATTTAAACTTTGAACATATAGTCGTTTGAACAATGTGTTCTGAACATGCAAATAGAAAGAAATGATGTTTTAAACCACTACTGGATTTTATTCAGTTCTAAAGATCTCGTGTTTTCTTGTTGACCTTTACTTTTTTAAGGCTTCCAGGCTTACTTTATCATATATATGTAAATCAATTTTTGCGTGTAAAGATGTTGACACGTAGTGATTTCCGAAGAGTTAAATTTCGCAAAAATCAACCATAATTCAATTAAACTTTTTTAACGCTACTGAACATGATGTTGCTCACGACTTGATAGTTTTTACTCAAAATACATGTACAATGTACTTAAAGATGACTCCGGCCAAAAGTCTTTGAGACCGACATACAAGTACAATGTAAGAGTTTATTCACAACCAGTTGAGCCCCGGACTAACTAGACAGCATGTGCCTTGGTGTGGTTGCTGGGATGACGCGTGTGAGGTGATCATTGAGCGTCAAATTTGATTCACGGACAAGTTAGTCCCCGGCTCAGCTGGTTGTGAATGCTCTCTAAGTGCCTCTTACTTGACATGGACAGGATCTGGTTGTAGATGAAGTTGTCTTCTGCATAGGTTTCTATGGCAACAAGATCAGCACCCAAATTCTGGCATTCCTGTCTCGCTGCATCCCATGACTTCTTAATCGTGCCAAAGAAATAGCAATTCTTGTCAAACTGTATAAATCTGGAGTCACAGCTTCGACCGCCTAGAAACAAAAGACAAGAGACAGTGAAAGAAGCTGAATTTACAAGAAAAATTTAAATTGAAAAACCAGTGAAATAATTAATATTATTTTTGAATTACTGCTTTAAAGCCTGCTTTTCCAAAAGGCAAATAGCTAAAAAAAGTAAGAAGCAGCGTAAAAGTGCTGGTGCCCTACTACTTCTGAACCTAAACCGGTATCTTCGTCAGTTTAAAGTGATAATTTTATATTTTTCTTACCTCTCACACTTTGCGCAGACCTACAATCAACAGCAAAACGCAATTCCCAGGTATCATACCTTTCTCCAGTAAACCCAAAACAGCGTGATTTTTGGTTTAATTCTTATGTTATTGACAAGTGTCTTTGGCGAGTCTGTTGCAAGTGGATTGCTTTGAGTCAGTTTATAAGCGGTACCAGGGATATGTGTTCAATTATGACTGGCTACAAATATAGAATGACATACAAGTTGTTGACTTTGGAATAGAAATTTCTTAGATATCTGCTGCAATCTATCCCATTTCTTGATATACTTGGAAATTTTGTGAGAGATTGCCATCTAGGAATCAAATACCATTTGTTAAAGTTACTTGAATTATCGTAGTTCAAGTGTCAGGTTAGGTTGTTATTGTAAAAGTAACCATCCATATCTTCCATTGTACTGTAGAAATAAATGCATTTATATCATAACGACTCATCTTACAAGAGAATGATGAAATACCTAAGTCGAGTTTTAGGTGATCACGGCAGCCTTCTTTGCATTTTCCTTCTCTTTGGGAGTTTTTCTTCAAACTCAAATAAAATGCCCTATTACAGGGTGGCTAATGTAGGACAAGTAGGGGTGCCATAGCTCAAGAATTTCATGTCTTAACATGGAGCGGAGACCGAGAGTTTAGAACGCGTCCTGAAAGCTGTCACTTAGGGCGCATTCCCATAGATTTTAGATCGATCTATCTCCGTGGAGAGTTTCAATAGATTACTGTCAGATAATCCGGCTTAAATGTCCATCCCACCTACTACAAGCTGTAAGGGGGTAATTAACTTCCATGCGCGGTCGGCTGACTGCAATTTAGCGTGAACCCCCAGGGAGTTAGGTCGAACTAGTAAGATCGATCTAAATCTCTGGAAATGCCCTCTTAGACCCCATTCCCATACATTTTAGATCGATCTATCCCTGTGGGGAGTCTCACTAGATTACTGTCAGCTTAGCCGGCTTAAGCGTCTATCCCGCCAACTAAAAGCTGTAAGGGGGTAATTAACTATGGTGCGCGCTCGGCTGACTGCAATTTAGCGTGAACCCCCAAGGAGTTAGGTCGATCTAAATCTAAATCTCTGGGAATGCACCCTTACATTAATCTGCATAACCGGAGCCAGTGTAGTCAAATGGGGGTAGGTGCTGGTGATTTTGGAAAGCTCGTGATCGCAGTTTTTTATAGTATCAGTATAATTTATCAGTATAATTTATAATATAATTGATACATTTATTGTGTTTATATTGATCAGTCACTTATATTCCCTTCTCCGGATTTAAGAGCAGTACATGTGATGTTATTCAACTATATACTCTAGATAATTCTGTCACTGTCCGGACTGAACTTTGTTTCTGCTGTAATTTTTGGGACACTTCAATCTAAACAGAGAAGCCACTTTTAAAGTACTCGAGGTTTCCTGGGTTTTAAAAGATTTTTCGTCAACTTTTCTGAAATTCTGCAGCAATACCCTCTCCAATGTTCTTCCGAGATAAAGGCATAGACGTAGGATTCATGGGAAATCCTGCCAAAATTTCTGAAGCTGATTTGGTTTTTTCATCCAGTCACCCCCTTTTTTATGCGTAATTGATTTCTATAAAATCTTGGTCACGTCATACTTTCGCATTCTTATCAATCATTCTGATTTTTGTTTCGATTACCTGGTTAATTAAAGTAAAAAAGTAAAATCTCATTTAAGAGATTAAACTGGTCAAGTATCAATCAACCTATATATTGCGTTTGTTACTTATGTCTTTTATGGCTCCCGCACTACTCCGGATGCTGGTGATATAAAGTTATCGAGTAATTTATCGGTTTTTGTCGTGCTCTTTTACCTGTGGGATTTGCGCCAAGCCACACATACGACCGTAGTTATTAATCGCTTTTTTCTTTTTCCCCAAACCAGGTTAAATAATTCATGAAAGAAATATAAAAACGTCACAATATGGTGATCGATAATCTGGGACAAAAAACTTATTGATTTTGAATAATGATTGTTTGCAAAGGTAGGCTACTGGTACGCTTACGGTCACAATACCCTGTA